AAAATAGCAGTACTGGTATAATGCTGCAATTTTTGGTTGGGTATTGGTCACGTGCCTCTAGATGTCGAGACCCGCCGAAGACAGGGTCAACAGCTAGTATAGAATATGTTAATTAAAATAAAAACTATTTTTAACATGACTTTCTGTTTTATTAATAACTTTTTGTATTAGTATTCAAATGACTTTAAATTCATTATAGATATGGACTGAGAGCCTGTAATGTTTGAATTCACTTCATTTTTAAAAGCTGGGTAGCGATTATGTATTTTGATTTAACTTTGACGTCAAAGTCATTTTCATTTTGACTTCGTAGTCAAATGTCATTTTTCGTAGTTTTACGTAAAATGATTGTTTTGATTTGTCAAATTGTAATATCCACAATTTATTTAGGAATTAAATTATAAAAAAGTAAAGTTAGTGATTTTAAACAGTTAAAAAAGCGGTATAATTAAGGGATTTTTAAAAGATTAATAATTAGGTTAAAATTATTTAATAAAAAATTATTTCATCTGTCAACGGTAAGTATTTTTTAATGTTGAAACCAGGGATATGTTATAATTGTTTTGAATAATGCCTTACTTTCATTTTTATAAACGTAGTCAAAATAAAATAAACTTAAATATCAAAAACTAAAGAAGAAATCTGTGGTTGAAAGGCATAACAGCATAACTGACATTTTTATCAAATTTGAGATAACACCAGATTTTATAACATTTAGTAATGCTTTTCAAAGTTTTATAAATAAAAAATCATTTAAGTAACTATTTATGTAGAAAATAGTGATAATCCTAATCGCATAACTGCAGTTTTGGCAATGAAAGACAGGCATAATAGCATAACTGCATTCATAATGAAAAAACAATTGACGCAATCTTTAAAATAAAATTAATATTTTAGGATAAAAATATTATTTATTTTATATATTATAATAAAATGTTTATTAAAAAAATTTCGTATGCAAAATTTGTTTATTTGTAATTAAATTTTCATTGTTTAATTGATACTTACTAGATTTTAGTTGCATTTTGGGGTTATTTTTCTGTTTTAAAAATTGAAAAGTACTTGAAATATTACTTTCAATAACAAAATAATAAAATTCAAAAATAATGTAATATAGTTTCTTTCGCTCCAATAAATTAAAAATTGAATTAAAAACTAAAAAGTAAAATTAATTAGAAAAAATATTAAATATGTAAAATTACTGAAAATAAAACCTAACTAATTTCATAACCTATTATTTTTAAAAATGATTGTTTGAATTTAAAAAAAAAAATATATATATAAAATAAAACGTTAATGATATATTTAATCTTCTTAACTTCTTTACAATTATCTCTTTCAGATAAATTTGTTTCCGAGTCAGATTCATACGTCTCAATTAAATACATTTTGACATTAAATGATAAAAAAAAATTTACAACATTCAATAGAAAAAATGGTGCTAATGTATGCAAAATGTGCAACATGGGTGAGGGGGGGTTGAAATGATGAAAAATAGTGCAACGTAATTTATGGATGGCCCCTAATGAGCGAACCGTCAGATTTTGTTTACCGATCATAAAAAAATTAAGAATTAAGCTAACACTTTACTTTTCTTTTACATAAAATGACAATCAGGGTTAAGTCCCTGATTTCACAATTCTCGGGTCGATCGTCGACTAAAACATCCTTGAAGGAAGACATCAAGGGAAGTATTTTCTGGAATATATAATTGGATATGTGTCCCAATTATTCAAAATTGCCAGGAAAGCAAAAAACCACTTTTAATAACAGGAACCTGTCGAAACATTGGTCATCGCCATCTTTCGACACACTTGAGGAGCTGGATATTAGAAGTTGCTCTCCGCTCGGCTAAACTCCGTAAAGCTAGTCAAACGTTCGAAAAAATGATAAAAATTGAAATTCAAAATTTGAATTTTGAAAAATACTACATTGTAGGAAATTAAAAGGCGCATCTTTTTTTTCTCTTTTAAATTTTTTAATAAAATGAATAGTTTAGTTTCTAGAGACGAAAAGCTGAGAAATTTAAATTGTTAAATTTAAATAAGTTTTAAAACATAAGTCATCGTATCATCGACAATTATTAAGGGGTTTCCTAAATTTTTTTGCCCTAAAATAGAAGGTTTATAAAAGATCGTGTACTCATAAGTTTTAAAATATAATTGATCAAAAGTTTTTACATGTTACTATATACGTCAAGAACTATTTAAAAAAAAATTGCGATCTTAAAAAATATTATTATGCTCCTTCTACAGAGGTCGCTATGTACACTGGTCAAAATCAAAGTCCTTTACGGTAACCACTGTAGCTCATCGCAGAATCATCTAAAATAAAAAAATCAAACGTGATTTTAAAGTTTAAGACCTAATACAGGTCCTAAACCTCGAGATATTAAAAAAAATCAAAAATTAAAAAAATGGCAAGCTTTGGAACCCAAAAAACTGAAAAAACACCATTTTTTTGACAATCAATCACTCACAAAAACCTGATTATTGAATATTTTAAATATATTAGAGGTTTAGGGCCTGCAAAAACTTCCACTGAATCGAATGCAACTTGAATTTTTGAAATCAGTCAAACGGTTTTTGAGTTCTACTGGTTACCATTTTTAAATATAGTGTTTTGAGAAAAAAGTGTTTAAAGTTTTGATATCAAAAGGTTATAATTAGTCAAGCAGAAGTAACTAAATCAGCTTGAAAATTCTTACTCAGGGGTTTTTGGGGTCGCTGATTACGAATATGATGTCAGATTTTAAAAATTCAAAATGGCGGATCCAATATGGCGGACATGAAAGTTAAAAATCAATTGCATTTACTCGAAACTTGGTACTCGGGGGTTTTTGGGGTCGCTGATTACGAATATGATGTCAGAATTTAAAAATTCAAAATGGCGGATCCAATATGGCGGACGAAAAAATTTTAAAACTAATCGGATTTGCTCGAAAATGATGAAATGATATGAATATGATGAATTGTCCGTACTATGTCCATGACCATGTCGGGTTTATTATCAGCAAACCAAAGAACCTTTTTTATATTTGAATTTTCGAATTCTGTCATCATATTCAATCCAAGCATTTTTTAAATTTGTCCGCCATATTGGATCCGCCATTTTGAAATTTGAAAAATGGACACCGGATTCGTAATCAGCGACCCCATAAACCCCCGAGTAGGACATTTCGAGCCAATCTAAACACTTTTTAAAAAACTTGTCAGCCATATTGGATCCGCCATTTTGAATTTTTAAAATCTGACATTAAATTCGTAATCAGAGACCCCAATAACACCCCGAGTAACGAATTTCAAGCAAATCCATTCGCTCGGTTTATCGTGGACACGAAAGGGTTAATTATACAATCTGTAGACGCATATATATATATATGTATTTTGTTAAATAACTTAAGATTTTGAGCGAATTATGATCTAATGATTTAACCACACATTCTTAACATACTTTCCTATCAAAAAATGAAGAAAAAAAAAATTCGATTTTTTTGACCAAAAAAATTTAGGAAACCCCTTAATGAATTTGATTGAAATTTGATATGTACACCTATTATGATCTACTGAAGGCGAAAAAATAATAAAAAATTAAAAAATCATTAATTGTTTAAATTTTTTTTAATAAAAATTGAGAACAGTTAATAATAACGTTTTCTTATTTTCATCGACAAAATGTCTGCGGGGAACTTTGTACTTCATAAAACATCCAGTGAGACATTAGTTTATCACTATATAAGGAAGTTTTCTGTAAAATATTAAATTAATTCATTGAAAACTTTTAAAGTTCATTAATAATTGTCGTAGATAGTTTTAATAGTTACTTACTAATAGTTACTACTATTTTATTATAGTTTAGATAGTTTTAAAACTTAATTAAATTTAACAATTTAAATTTCTCAGTTTTTGGTCTCTAGAAACTAAACTATTCGTTTTATTAAAAAATTTAAAACAGAAAAAAGATGCGCCTTTTAATTTCCTACAATGTAGTGTTTTACAAAATTTTGAATTTCAATTTGTATCATTTTTTCGAACGTTTGACTAGCTCTACGGAGTTCAGCCGAGTGGAGAGGGAGTTCTAATATCCAGCTCCTTACATGTTATTGTGCAACGCCTCTATAGGTGATCTATTGAACTTTCTTTTCGACCGTCGATAATTAACCAAGTTACCGTCTGTCGCGCATCGATTACCATTCGTGTATCTTTTGTAAGTCGAGCGAGATTCGCCACCTAGACGAAACGCGACGAACAGCCATTTTGGATTATTCTCGTTTTGGCGTTCAAGTGACAGGTTGTGCTATTGTAGAAAATATTATTTAGTCAGTGTCGTAGGCGTATTTTCGGTGAGTTTCTTGACAATTAAAGGGGTACTTTTCGATATATTTGATCACCTAAAAGGTGGAATAATTAGATCTTTGTTCTGTGCAAAGTGTATATTTTCACAGGTCCCTTCAGGACCTGTTTCAATTGATAATTAAAGTGTGTTCAAAATAAATTTTGGTGATTTTCTTGACACAGCCGCTCTCCTTGTTAATAGCTGGGCTAGCTTATTAAATTCACTCCTTAATTAATTTTGTTATTTTCCACAAAATAATCTGGCGCTTCGGGTAATAAATAAAATAAACCAATTGTAGCGCGTATTTTGCTTACATTAACAATAAAATTAATTAATAAAAAATCAAAAATTACATAAAATTCAATAAAATTAATAAATAAATAAAATACACGTTATAATACATATATGTGTACTTACATATATATTTATATTTATATAGCTATATATATATAAGCATACATTGTACGCGCGAAGAGTAAGCTCCGTGGGCGCGTTTCTTTTACATTGAATCCCTTTTTTCGATATGTTACCGTAGTTTCCAACTAAAATAATAGTTTCCATAGCATTTTTACATATATCCACTACAAGAATCTGCAGTTTTCATAAAATCGATTTTTTTGAAAAAAGATGTGGTACTAACCCCTTAATAATTATTTTTACATTACCTTGAGATAGAAGTTAAGATAAATAAGTGGTTCCGATGCAACTTTTAAATTACTTTTAGACAGAGAATATAGAGAATCATTCATTTTTATCATTGGCTCATTTAATCGAGCAGACACTAAGTAGGCTGAATAAAAATTAAAAGTTAAAAGACTGAAGATTCCAATTGTCAAAAAACCTATCCTGCTAGCTGGACTTTCTGGACAAAATTCGGAACCTATTATAAAACATTAAATAACTCGGTAAAACTGTAATTACAATAATAAATAAATAAAAGATTTTACATAATAATTAAATTTTTCCATTCCTAGAGTAATTATTAATTTTTTATAAATAGAATTAAATTTCACTAAGAGTGGATGTATATTAAAAATCCCTATGCAGGGTCGATAAAATAATTTTTGAAAGTATTATTTTTCCAATTGAAGTTTTCTTAATCCCGAAATAAAGTGGAAGAATGAATGAATTTTGTGACAGAAATTTAGTCTGTCTTTGAGTAAAGAAAAATAAATAAAGGGTCAATTATTAATATTTAATAAAATAACTGATATAAACTCGTATTTGGTGACCCCAAAAACCCCTGAGTACACAGTTTCAGGATGATTTAAGGGTAGGACCTAGTAAGGCAGCAACATCTATATCGAAACTGAAATTTCGTAATATTTTGCACAGTATTTAATATAAAATGCTTTTTTTTAGTATAATTGATTATTGTCAAGAAATACACCAGCTAAAACTTTTTTTGAGTTAAAATAATCAAAAAAAAATTATTGACGATAAATTAAATATGACCATATTTTTTACGAAAATAACAACAAAAACTTTTTTAACATAACACATCAACCCTATTTTACTGATTTTGACAGTCATTTGGTAGGTAACGTGTCATAAGACCTTTTGCGATTTTGCCAACAAGAGTAATTTCGCGATGTTGCTAACAAAAAAAATATATCACTTGTCATATGGCTGTCAAAATGAGTAAAATAGTGTCGATATGTTATGTTAAAAAAAGTTTTTGTTATTATTTTCATAATTGGTGAATTTTATCTGGTGTATTTTTTAGTGTTTATTAATTCTCCAAATGAAAATTACATTCTTTTTTGATATTTCCGAGAAAAGATTTTAAAAGTTATTTTAAAAAAATATGCTAATATTTAATTTATCATCATTATTTTTTTTTCATTGTTTTAACTGAAAAAAGTTTTAGTTGGTGTATTTCTCGACATTCTAAAGGAAACAGCATTTTATTGTCTTGTTTTCAAGTAAATACTGTGGAAAATTTTACAAAATTTTAGTTCCGATGTTTTTACGATTTCGTGGCTCAGGCGCGAAAGCCTTATAGTTTGTGAGGTTACTTGTTACATATATTTAAGTGTATATGAAGCAAAATTCCTCAAGTGTCACAGGTCCAAAAATGAAGTTTCTTGGATCGGGCTAAGATTTTCAAGAATTGTTGTCTGATTGGCTAACAAGGAAGGTATTTGAGGTGTGTATCGCCGATTTTCTTGAACTTGATATGTGCTGTAGAGGACTAAAAACTAAAAGACACGTATTTCTTTATACGTACCCATAAGGCGATTTATATGTTAACCACAAGATCAAAATAAAGTTTACATGTTTTGGCGTTTTTAATAAAAAAAATGTAAAGGGGTAAACTACCCCAAAAATGAATTTTTCTTTTTTATATATTAACCAAGATAATTTATTGGTAAAATCTTTTTATTAATTGTTACTATTATTAATTAGTTAGGAAGAAATCCAGGCCCCTAAAAACAAAATAGACTTCAAATTCGTGTTCAGCGGCCCAAAATACATGAGGGTAGGGTGCTCTGATCCCCGAACCCCGACACTTTTATTTTGTGGGGCTGTGTAATTTAGGTTAATTTCCCTGTAGAAATTGGCCTTTAATTTATATGTTGTTAATTAATAATAAATAATTTTTTTAATAATGAATTTTTTGGAAATAATTAATTGATAAATAAAATAAAGTGCAAAAAAAATTAATTATTTACTTAAAAATATTTTTGTTAAATTATCGTACTACAAACCGTAAAAATCTGTTTTGAACACGTTCAATTCTAATTTTATATGATTCCTGACACACCATTCGTCGAAACGGTCAAGATCAGACTGGAGATCAAAAGAGTTACTACATGGGTTATTAATAGTAAAAACGGTTACTAATTTATTTAATAAACGAATCGGTACAGTTGAATTAGTCAAAAGTGAATAATTTAGATTTAGAAGGTATGCAGCGCAAATTAATACTTTCAGAAATTATTCTGTAAACTATCTAGAATAGGGGAAATTGTGGTAATGTGAATCACGCATTTATTTTATATTTAAAAGGTTTGACACATACAATGATTTTTATCGTCTTGTCTTAAACCAAGGTAATTTTTCTATTAACAGTTTTAGTTACATTAACTAACTATACTTGCCCCATCCTCCCCTACTACAGTAATAAATGTATAAAAATTCAAACAAATCCTATTTAGTCAAGAAAATTTATGTTATGGAGTAAGGTTGGATCCACCTTACATATCTAAATAATTTATTTGACATACCTTGTTGACAGATAGTGCCATAGGTTGTTAATAACGATATTTTGTAACGCTCCAAACAGGTAGCAATATTTTCCAATGTTAATGTGATGGAAAAGAGAACGCTTACTAAAAGTGTCATTATTGCTGTTAAGTACCAACATTCCGTTGAAAACGGTGATAGAAATTGATTTACTTTAATGTTTTTGGATTCAGGATTTCGGAAGACAAAACAAGCACTATAAGAATAAAATATTTGTTAATATTAAATACACAGGAAATAATTCATACTTTAACTCTCTGCAGAGTTAACAACTGTCGAATCGTTTTTCAATTGTCGCCAAATGGGCTATAGTTTAACACAATTCAGAACGATTGAAAACCAATCGTATGCAATTGTTGCCAATCGGGATATAGTTTAACACGATTCAGAACGATTTGGGTATAATTTCGTTAATCGTTTTCAATCGTTCTCAATCGATACGCACATGCGCATATACTTATTAAATGTCAATGTACAATAAGAATAATTTTTTAATTAAAATGCGCGATGAAATAACACGCGATGAGTTAGTGAAATAATAGTTCTATTCCCAATATTGTGTTTTTCAGTAGTCAAATAAACTGTTTTTTACGAATTCCATTTACAGAAGAAAATTATGAATAGTTAAAATATTGTTCATTTGTTTTTGACTACGCAGAAATACACACAGTATGAGTTTTTTCTCATTTATAATTAATATAACTGTCCCATATTAATATATTAATAAAATTAAAATAATAAACATTTACACTTATTAAAATAAGTTTTAATAATCATATTTATTTGAAATTATTACGTTGGATTTATTAATTTTTTCTTACAAAGACTATAATATACAACTTTTGTTGCACTTTTGTGTAAAATAGTAGACAAACATTTGCTATATAGAAAACTTAACCAAACATTCTATAGTTTTTATGTTTTTTCATTTAAACTTTAATTTTCTGTAGTATCAAGAAACAATAATTTTTTATTATTTATACCATTTAATAAGGACCCCGAACCATATACATGGGAACTTGGGGTTAGGTGAAATTTCTTGTAACAATGTAATTTTGTAGTTTATGACCTCCTGAACACAAAATTTAAATGACAAAATTCAAAAAAATGGACAGATTTTTTAATAACTTAGGGCAGAGAGTCAGTTTAACCTTTTCCAATCCTACATTAACCTACAATATAGAACTTATTCTACAAAAAAAACATTACACAATATTTAATACTACATTTACCAATCTTACAATAACTGATTCTACAAATTGAAAAAGAAAACTTAAATAAAAATTAATAATACCGATTCTACAATGATCGATTCTACAAATTGTAATTAAAACTTTGAATCAAAATTAAAGATTTTGATCCTAAAATGACAAATTTTTAAAATTACAATTGTACGTTTAAATAAAAATTAAAGATACTATTCCTACAATAACCGATCTTACAAATTACGATTGTATGTTTATATAAAAATTAAATATACCGATCCTACAATGACCAATTCTACAAATTGCGATTAAAACTTTATAAAAAAATTAAAGATTCCGATCCCACAATGACCGATTCTACAAACTGCAAATAGACAATTAAATTAACAAGTTGTAAATTCAGATGTTCATTACATGAACATTTTGCTTCCTCTTTACGATCAGCAATAAAATTTGCTTCCTCGTGGAGAAAGCATTAACATTGAAATAAACATACAAAAGTAATATAATAATATAAACATTTGAGTACCTATACATTTGAGTTAAAAAAGAATTAAAGGAATTTAAAAAATCAAAAATTCATATTTTAACCGAAATTTCTAAATATTAATAAAAAATAATATATAATTTATAATTATTTACAATTATATCGATTCGTTTTAATGCAAGGAACACAATTATTTTATATTTAAACTTGAATTTAAATAAATACAAAATTTTTCAGCTAAAATGTGTATTTACTATTTTTAACTTTCATTAATTTATTAAATTTACCTCAAATGTAAATTTTATATATACCAATCGATTCGTTTTCATGTAAGGAATACAATTATTTCATTTATAAACTTAAATTTAAGTAATCACAAAATTTTATAGCCAAAATGTGAATTTTTGATTTTTTAACTTTCATTAATTCTTTAAATTTTAATTAAAACTATACTTTATATATACCGATCGATTTGTCTTGACGTAAGGAATACGATTTTATTATATATAACCTGAAATTTTTCTATTTAAAAATTTTTTCGATTAAAAAAAAATTTTTGGAAAAAAGACGATAAAATTTTTTTTTGGGTATTTTTTAAAATACTTTGGTCAGATTTAAAATATTAATATGATAAATGAGCCTACCAAATTTTATCTAAATCCATTAAAACCTGTTAAAGTTATCTTCTAAACAAAAAAGGGATCCACACACACATACATACACACATACATACATCCGGACAATTGATCAGGATCTCATATAACATGTTTCTATAAAGAAAAAAATTTGTTTCCGCCACTTTGAAAATTTTTATAAACGAAAGGGCTACAAAGCTTCCTCCACGAGGAAGCAAAATTAGTAATACCGATTCTACAAATTGCAAATAGACGATTAAATTAAAATTGAGAATACCGATTCTACAAATTAAGATTGAAAGTTTAAATCAAAATTAAACATTACGATCCTACAATGACCGATTTGAACCTATAACAACTAATAGATTTTATGGTATATATGATTTTAAAAATGCTAATCTAGCTGATTTACATATTTATTTACTAAATACTGACTGGAGCAATGTTCTGAATTCACTTAATATAGACGATGCAGTTGCCAGCTTTTATACATACATTTATAATGCTTTCGATTATTTTGTTTCTATCAAAACTTGCGATGTTTGCAAATACCCTACATGGTTTAATTTTAAAACTAGACGTTTAGTATCTCTAAAGAAGGCGGCAGCTCTTATTAGATATAAAACCACTTAGTCAACGACAGATTATTTGACTTTCAATCGTCTACGAGCTGAATGTAAACTAAAAACTAAACTATGTTATAATAGCTATGTGAACAGAGTTGAGAATACGGTAAAATCAAATCCAAAATATTTTTGGAATTATGGTCTTAATTTTAAAGATAAAACTCGTATACCTAATGAGGTTATTTATGGCAGTACTATAAGTGAATCTGGTGTCGATGCGGCAAACTTTTTAAAATCATGTTTTAGCTCTGTTTACACTTCTCCTTCTTTAAATATTTCAGCAACCGACTTTAATCAATATGATAACAAAATTAATGTATTTTCTAGTTCTAAAGAATCTGTTTTGAAAAAATTGAAATCACTCAACGTATAAAAGGACCTCGTCCAGATGCAATTCAGTCATCTCTTTTGAAGTCGTGCTGTTCTTCATTTGTCGAGCCTCTTTATATTTTGTTTAACACGTCACTTACAAATTGTACATTTTCAACAATATGGAAGAGAGGATTTGTTGTTCCGGTGTATAAGGACGGTGACAAAAAAAATGTCACTAACTATCGTCCAATAATGTTCTTGAGTGCAATATCAAAAATTTTTGAAAGTATTTTTCATGATGACTTATACAAGCAATTAGAATCCTCGATAGTTTAATAGCAGCACGGTTTTATGAGGGGAAGATCGGTGTTGACCAACCTGAGTATTTTTTCCAATTTTGTACTAGAAAACTTGAAACATAAACAAATTGACACTATACATATACAGATTTCAATAAAGCTTTTGACAAGGTAGACCACGGCATCCTCTTGGCGAAGCTTGAGGCTCTGGAATTTTCTGATATTTTGTTAAAATGGATAAAAAGTTATTTGGCAGACAGAACCTTATCAGTACGTGTTGGTAACGATTTCTCTGATATTTTTACCGCATCTTCTGGAGTTCCTCAGGGTTTAAACCTGGGATCACTTCTCTTTATATCATTTATTATCGATATTTATTTGGTCATAACGTTTTCTAAATTACTTTTATTTGCGGATGATTTAAAAATATTTAAGAAAAAATCTTGCACTCAGGACCATAAGGATCTACAGTCAGATCTTAAGCGGCTCTGTGAATGGTCTACAAGCAACAATCTGCTTTTTAATTTTAAAAAATGTAGTGTTATTTCATTGCGCAGACTAGTTGAATTATTTGATTGTGGGTACTCCATTGGTAATGGGGTGCTAGCCAGAGTATCTTCTATACGTGACCTCGGTGTGCTGATTGATTATAAATTCTCCTTTACTAATCACATCATATATACTGTAAATAATGCCACCAGAGTCTTGGGCTTCACCACCAGAAATTCAAGGCGTTTCAAAAACATCGATGCTTTGAAATGCTTGTACTTCTCGTTGGTCAGACTGATACTTGAATTTGCATTAATAATATAGCGACCTCATCAGGACGAATATATAGTTTTGATAGAGCGAGTTCAAAACAGATTTTTGCGTTTTGCTGACAGACAAACTGGTTTGCCATTAGACTATAATAGTCATGAATATAGTGAAATTAGAAGGACATATGTCAAAAACCAAAGTTTATAATGAAGTAGAGACGGACATTACCTCAAAATTATTATCAGAGGTCAAGATATGACCCTCGCTTTAAAATTTTAAAGGGCATAGATCAAAAGAGAACATATCCTTAAATTTACGTTGAAGGTCATAGGCGAGGAGGCGAACATAACCTCAAAATTTGGTCAAAGTCATAGAAAAATCTGAAATTACCCCAAAATTAGGGTCATACGTTAGAAGGACGTTATCCGTGATGCATCTTAGAAACAAATTCTTTAAAATGAAATAACAAATTTTATTTAAAGAATTTGGGTAAAATTAATCTTTGAAAACATATAAAAACTTTTCGTTCCTAATTAATTTTTTAATTGTAGAATAGATGAAAATTTAGTTTACGGATGCAAGTTCAAATAATATAGTTTTTGTTCATATTAAAATATAAATAAATTTCTGATGTTCAAATTTAAAAACTTTTTATTAAATATAAATTTAATCAAAATAATATTTAATATTGTTAGTAAATTTAAATAGAGGGTTGGCGCGCGAAGCGCGCAGGGTGACGAAGCCCCCCTAGTATATATATAAATATAAATTTTTTTTGCGTTTAATATAGTCTTTATTACTTACAATTATCGAACGTATTAACATATTAATCAATGTTATAAATTATTTAGTATTAATATGAACTAATTATTA